AGTCAAAACCTTAAAACGATCTTCCTTCAAAAAGTTCAAAATTTATCGTCATTATTTTTATGGCGAGAATGAATGTGCCTGTTACTATATATTGTGGTCCAATTTACTACAAATTATAGTTGATATCAATATAGCGTTAATGATAGTTTTCATGAATTTTATTTCAAAACGTTAACGTTAAGGAAAGAATTAATATCATGGAATATCGAAATATAAACAATTGAATAATATTCTGTCAAGAAAATCTTTCATAATTGCTTATGAGATTAAGCCTGACATTATTTTTATTAATGAGTTGATTTGCTTTGTGAACAACGTGATGAAGGTGAAAGTAAAGCAATCCAAGAATTAAAAACAAAATTTCTCGTTCAAATATATGGTGTAATAAATGACCATATGGAGTTTTTACGACGGTTGTCTTGGCAGTTGGATAGCACTATCAGGTGACGATTTATATGCAAGTGTTAAAGTATATATCGCTAAAGATAAAAGGTAACGGTAAAGATAATCAATCTTATTTAAAATATTTAATCAGAAAGTTTACACATTTTTTTATCGTTATGCTAACTTTATAATTATTAATATTTAGTGTTAGGTTTTGATATTGTATGCATGATGCAAACTGCGATATATTTCAAAATTGTATGTTACACTAAAAATTTTAAAATTATCATTATGGAGTATGATATCGACATGTATTTAGTCAAAAAGACTGAAGGAAAGAAATTCTTACATACTTTATTAGAATACTTACCGTTATACATTTTTTTATGTTAGAGCAACATTATTATTCGTAGAATTCAAATTCAAAATGTATACTCAACATCAACACAGAATTATTTATTGATTTAATTGGTATTTAATTATCCTTATCATTATATTTGGGCTCTGTATATTAATGTTAATGTTAATCAATTATCATTATTTGATAAAAATAAAATTCTTCATTGCAATTATCACGATATCGATTGTATTGTTGTTTTGATCGATCATTGTTAAGAGATCGACATAATCAACCATTGTTAAGAGATTGACATAATCGATCATCGTTAAGGGATCGACATGATCGACCCTCAAAATTCAGATTTTATTTTTTTATCGGCATGATCAACCGATATAAAAAATGCATTCTTTCATATTAAAAAAGCAAATAAAGCATAATTTTGCTTCATTTTTTTCAAGAATATAACAATTTAACTCCTCTTTTACAACTAAGAAAAAATATACTTTCAAGTTATTTTTAGAAAAGTCCTTTAAAAAAGTTCAAAAAATCAAATTTGTTATTTGATGACCTTTTTCTGAAAAAGCAGAGCGTACACTCTTATCCAAATTAGAATAATCACAACACTAATAATAAGAAATTCAGAATCCTAACAAAATTTATGATAATTTAATCAATATTCTCAATTACATCCAGGGTTGTAAATTTAACTTACATCTTGTAATTTACCAATGTAACTTATGGTAAATTACCAGCAAGTGATGTAAGTTACATTTTATTAATTGGCTGGCATTAACTTAACTTTAGTCAAGATTAAGAAATTTAAAATTGCAAAACATATAAAATATAAATGTTATTTATTTATTTATTTATCAATATCATTATTATCACTTTCAATATCTAATTCATTTACATCAAAATCATCTACAAAAAATTATTAAATTGATCATTATTATCTTTTTCTACCTCAATATTTTCTAATTCACTTGTTACATTTATTTCTTTTTTTTTCTTTAATTTCTCTTATAATCTTTATATTTCAATAAAAATAAATACATTTTTTAACTTTTTGATCTAATATCCTATTTTGTAATTTATTATGAATAAACCCAAATGCTAACCAATTATATTTACTAGCTGCTGAAATTGCTGGTATTGATAACACCTTAAGAGCAATTTTACTTAATATAGAATATTATTTTGCAACTAATTTCTGTCAATTAATTAGTTTTTCAGTTAAATTGTCTTATAAATGATTCTCAGAAAATCTTTCTAATTTTTTTACAAATTCTGAATATTCTAAAATAATATTATTCTGTTCATTTTTAGGTATCATCCAAATAATTTTCTGTTTTAAAAATCTATCTTATTATGTAGTATTAAGTATTTTATCACATATTGTAGATCAAGTTTATAAATAACCATTATAATAGAATTATAAAGAAAATTATTCTATTGTGAATTTTCAAATTCATATATATTTTGTATAATTAATTGTTTAATTTTTTGAAGACTTGAATATACTGTATATAATCTTAGTTAATTTGATTGTAATTGATTAATAAATTGTGCAAATAATTCAAGAAAATCCTTAAATTTTGCTAAAAATAATTATCAAGAATTTTTTGTTTTATTTGTAAATCTACTTTAATTTTTCTTCATAAAGTATATTTAATAGTGTAACTTTTGTTTAATAAGATTTCTAATATAATAATATACTGTCTTTATTGTGTTCAAATAATAATAATGCAATATGAGTATCATATTTTGCTATTTGTAGATAGCATAAAACAACAAGAAGAACTTGATATTTGTAAAAATAATTAATAATATTTTTACAAATTGATTTAAATTTTCAAATTAAATAAGTTTTATAATATATTTAATCCATAAATTTATTTCATAAGTTTAACAATCTAAAAACTTAAAAATATACAAATTTTTTTATTAATGATTTTATTTTATTTAATTTAATTAATATATTTTAATAATTACCTTATATAAATATTTATTTTTAAAAATCTTTTATGCAGCTTTTATATTTGATACATGCATTATCAGTAATAATATCAACAACCTTTTCTTTACCAACTTCATTAATAGTTTATTTAATTCCTACTAAAATATTTTCTATAGTATATTGTTCTTCATGTTTAGAAATTGATTTATAAAATATTGATTATGAAATTGTAATTGTATAATTGATAATAAAGGTTTTATTTATATTTAACTATCTATCATTTGTAATATATAAGTATTCCTTTTTTTCTAATATATTATTCATATCTTTTTTAAAGAATTATATTTTGTATTTAAAATAGTAATTGATAATTTATATTATGAAGAAATTTTAAATACTGAACATGCTTTTTTAAAAAATATGTAAAAATTAGAATTATCAATTATATTAAAAGAAACTAGCTGAATAAAAAGCATATGTTAAAAGTTTTTTATTTTTTCTTAATATTTTTGATTAAAAAATATACATATTCATTAAAAGTTATTTATTATTTATGTTATGTTATTTTGTTATTAGAAAAGGTGAAAATAAAAATTCAGATTAATTTAAAATATTCTAATATTTTTTCAGTTTTCTAAATATTTGGATAAATAACTTACATTTTTAATCTATTATTAATCATAATATATATATTACTATTACTCAAAACTTTTATTATTATTTGAAATTTACCTAAACTTTACTGGTCAAAATCAAAAAATCAGACATGCAAAAATTGGCTTAAAATCAGTTTAAAATCAGTCTAAAATCAGAAAATTATCAAAAATCAGCCTTGTCGATTATCATACATCAGAAATCAGCCAAGAATCAGCCAAAATTCAACTTATCTTATTTATAGCTGATTGGCATATTTATAGCCGATTGATATATATCAAAATTTGACCTATCTCATTTATAACTGATTGACATCTAATTGGAACGATTATATTATTCCTTAGGTACGATAGGTATTATCATTTCTAAGATATAATAGTTTTATCATTTCTAAGAAATGATGCATTTATTGTATCTTAGATACAATAATTTTATCATTCCTAAGGAACAATTTTTTTGTATCTAAGGAATGATGATATTATTGTTTCTTAGGTACAACGATTTTATCATACTAAAGTATAATAATTTTATCACTTCTTAAGGATAATAGTATTATCATATCTAAGGAATAGTAGTTTTATCATACCTAAAGAATGATGGTATTATTGTTCTTTAGGTATAACAATTTTATCATTTCTAAGAAATAATGGACTTATCATTCATTAGGGACAATGATTTTATTATTTCTTAGAAATAATGATATTATCGTTCTTTAAGGATGATTATTTTATTATTCTTTAGAGACGATTGTTTTATCATTTTTTAAGAGTGATGGTATTATTGTTTCTTAAGGGTGATGGTATTATTGTTTCTTAAGGGTGATAGTATTATCGTTCCTAAGGTACAATGCATTTATTGTTCTTTAGAGATGATGGTATTATCATTCCTTAGGAATGATGATTTTATTATTTTTAAGGTATAATTGTATTATTGTTTCTTATGAATGATAGTTTTATCATTCTTAAGGAATGATTGTTTTATCATTTCTTAGAAATAATAGTATTATCATTTCGTAAGAACAATAGTATTATCGTTCTAATGAACCAAACTTTTAGATTAAACTGATTTGCTAAAATAATATTGATTTAATATACTATTTGAATTTATTTCTGATATATAATAATAATTATATAAATAAGCTTAATTTTTTAACTTTTTAAAAAATAATTTCAATTATTTCTAAATTTTCTCTTTTTACATTTCACCAAAATTCCAAAAAAAAATCGTCTCAAGAACAAAAAGATCTAAGTTGAATTTTAGTCAATTTTCACCTTCAACTATCAAAATCAAACGAAGAAAAAGCTGTATTTTAGTCAACTTTTCAAAAATAAACTGATTT